CACTCCGGTCGTTGGCCTTGCGGAGCTGGGCTGACCTGGCCGCCCCGTCCCATAGCAGACAGGCCAGAAGCAGCAGCCGGACAGCTGGCATCTTGGGCCCGTGGCTGCAGTGCTGTGCACGGGGTCCCCGGGGCAGAGGCTGGGCGAGGCTCCCTCTGGAAGGCTCCCCCACAGGAGAGGTGCCCGGCTGGGTGGCCCCGCCGGGTCCTATATACTGGGAACCAGCCCTGCAGGGGGCAGAGGTGGCCACGTGGCCCCGGGTGGGGCCACGCACTAGAGGGTTGTTTTCACACTGCCGGCAAGACTCTTAGAAAACGACTTTCCAGAAGTCTGTTTTGAATTTCTTTTTTAAAAAAAGTCCCACTTCACGCATCACACGTCCCCATAATATCCCTCTACCCCTCCCCCACCAATGTGCACACACACCCTCCCACGTGCCCACTGCATCCAGCATGACCACTGTGGGCGGATTTCAACAGGTTTATTTCCAGCTCCTATTTCCATCTGTGCTGCAGACTTTGTCGAGGACCTGCTCTGTGTCAGGCACTGTGCTAGGAGCCGGGGACTCAGACCTGCCGGAAGCACAGTCCCTCTTCCGTGGCAGGGGCCGAGCCCACGGCCAGCCAGACACACGGCATAGGGCCACCAGGCTTCAGCGAGGGCGGGGCAGAATTCTCCCTTGGTCCCTGGCTGTACAACAAGTGTGGGGGTGTCTCTGGGAGAACGTTTCCTTTTTAAATTTTTATTAATTGATTCTAGAGATATTGGAGAGAGAGAGAGAGAGAGAGAGATCTGTTTGTTGTCCCACTTACTTAGCATTCATAGGTTGATTCTTGTATGTGCTCTGACTGGGGATCTCACCCACAACCTTGGTGTATTGGGACAACACTCTATCGGCCAGAGCTTTGGAAGAACTTTCTTCTTTTTTCTTCTTTGTTCTTCTACTTTCTTATGCCAGTCTCGCATCACAGGGACCAATGTCAATATTAGTCTCCACTGTCTGTGTGTGTGAGTGTGTGTGTTCTTTATGGTTCCTGGAAAAAGCCACTATACATGGTTAGGAGCAGAACATGTGGCCGTTGGCTTCATTGAGCTTTCCTCCATCATGGTGGTTCGCCATCCTTTCTTCCCCTGGGGCTCAACGTGATGAGGACTGCTCAAGGCCCCCATCCGCCTTCCTGTGCTGGCCCCCCATCACCACCCCCCAAAGCCTGCATGGAATGCCAGAGCCACAGGGGCCCTTCCAATGAGAAAACAGAGGCCCAGAGAAGGAGAGGGGCTTGCCCGGTCACACAGCCCACGCGTGGCAGAACCAGAGGAAAACGGACATCTCCTGATGCTGAGGTTTCCCACCTTCTCGCATAAGCCAGGTCCACCCAACGCCCAGGGGTTGCCCAGAACAGACGAAAGATTCCCGTCGCTTTCCCCCAGGAACCGATGCTCTAGCAAATGAGCTAGCTCCCTCTCCTCCCTTAAGCAGAGGCCTTCACTGGAGGAACACGTGCGCATTCCCCAGCGTTTTACAGTGATTTAGTGAAAGTGCAGCCTTTCGTGAGAGAGAATGACATATTCTCCCCAAAGCAGAGAAAAGGGCTCGCTGCAAGACACAGGAAACTCCCTGCTCCCTGCTCAGCAATGAACATCTGGTCGGTTCAGCCTGCCCTCTTCGCCTTCCTGCCTCCCCCGCCCCCTGGGGGCCAGGCCCGCACTCCCCCACCTCCTGCTGTTCTCCTGGACATGGAGACCGCTTTCCCGCGGAGGAAACACTGTTCCCTCCGGTGTGAGACCGCGTTCCATCCCCATGTCCTTTCTGGCGCCTGGAGCCTGGGGGGCTCCCAGCTGCCGGGACGATGGGTTAGGCTGGTTGTTGGAGCAGCAGCGGGAGGCGCTGCCGTGCAGGATGGAGGCGGCAGGGGGCGCTAGCGGGCAGCAGCCCCAAGGCCCATTGCGCTCCAGGCTGCGCTTATCTGCTTGTTTCCGTTAGGTTTAGGCCGCTTGGCTGCTGTTTCCTCCCGCCATGAGTTCTTCCGTGAGAAACTGTCTCCGCACGAAGGCAGGGCTGCGCCTGCTTTGCTCACCGTTTTGCCCGCAGTGTCTCGCAGATGTAAATGCTCAGTGCGTTTTCAGTGGATGCATGGACGCACACACCGTTCAGCAGAAAGAGAACATGAAGGTCCCTAAGGAACCGGAACGCAGCCACCCGGGCACCGTGGAGACTCTAGGCTGCGCAGGACTTTTCTGGATGCGCTGGGCTTCCCTTGTCGCCCACGCAGTGGCCATAGAGCAACAGCGCAGGCGAAGTGGGCGTTTGGGGGGGGGGTTCTGGAACGCTATTTATTTACAGTTTCCTATGGGAAAATTTTTCTCATGGCTTTTATTAAAGAAGAAAAACATTTTCTTCTTCTTCTTCTTCTTCTTCTTCTTCTTCTTCTTCTTCTTCTTCTTCTTCTTCTTCTTCTTCTTCTTCTCCTTCTCCTTCTCCTTCTCCTTCTCCTTCTTCTTCTTCTTTTTTAAAGAAGACTGTATCTGTGACAATAGGAGAACTAACGATGGGCATTTGGGTAGGAATCTGATTGGCAGGAATCAGAGCCTGGAGCCTTGGTTGTCCAGGAGTCCATGGGTACCTATGACCAGCCCAACAGCTATTCCCAGGGGGGTCTGTGAAGTGTTGCGATGTTTACAAGAGCTTCTCATACACTAAAAGTCTACAAATTACGGGTGGGGCACAATCCACTTGGGATCTTTGATGTGGAGTCAAGGCTATTCTTGACTTATTGCTAATTAAATAAATGCTTAGAAGGGCGGTAAGAGTCTCTGAGAGCCTCACGCCACAGGAGCAACACATCGGAAAACACGCCGAAACCACAGCAAACTGTGGATTGAGCTTGGCCTGCAAAAACACACACCAAAACTTTTGGCTTTTGAGAAAGTTCACAAGTAGATAAAATGTTGCTTTCTCTCTTTGATAGTCCCTTGTACCTAAACATTTTTTTTTTTTTACATTTACCAGCTCATGTTCATTTTGACTCTTCTGACCATCTGAGAGATAAGTAGAACTCACCCCATTTTACACAAGAGGAAACTGGAAATTAAGTGACTTGCCGATCCATGAATGGGTGGTTAAAAGAGAGTCTAGCGCCTCCTGGTGGCATCTCCCGCACCTTCCCATGCCACGGCCCCTCCCTGTGCCATTCTCCAAAATGATGCAAGAATTTAAAAATTTAAGCTCTGATCTATATTGGGTTCATCACAATTTTTCTTGGCATGTAATTAGCATAAACTTTATTTCCAAATGACAACCACAATGAATTCACAGAAAGGCAGAATATTTTCCATAGAAAGTAACAAAAGCTCATTAAAATATTCTCATCTTATTGCTCATTCCTTATATTGCTGTTCTCTTAGGAGTCGGGATATTATAGCAGAAAGTTGCTGGGATCTAGATCTCTCCACGTGGTCTACTCACTACTGTGTCATTGGGGGTTACTCGTCAACTGGCCATGCTTCCTTTCTCCAGATTTTAAACGCCTCAAGTGTTCTTGTGACGATCAGGTGACAAAATGAAAACCCTTAGAGTATCTTGAATGCTCATTGCTACTCATCCTACCTCTAGTGGAGCAATGGGAGTCCATGAGGATGACAGTTCCTCCTGAATTTATTTTACAAGATGTTGCTAGATGATACAAGGGCTACGAATCATTTCCTTATAAAATAGCCATCACTTATTGTGCCCAGATCGTACAGTAGGAGTTTTACATATGGAACCTATCGGACTCTATCATCCTTTCAACCAGCCTACTAGATGGTTAATAATCTCCCCACATCACTAGTTTCTGAGTCTTGAGGAAAGACACATGGGTAATTATGGGAGCTGGGGTGTGAACCCAGCTTCTTGCCTCCGCTGGCCTTGGGCTCCCTAGGTGATAGGTTAGTTCTTCCTTATTTGACTGGAGTTAAGTAAACTTACCAGTAGATCATACCTCAGCATGATATGTGTTATTAAGAGGGGGAATTCATCACTAGGACATTTTCATCTATTCATTTCCTTTCTGAATTCTTTTATTCCACAGAGAACAGAAAATGTCTTCCTTGCTGATCAGTTAAATCCAAGCAACAGACTTCAGTACGCACGACTCAAAGGGCTTTAAATGAACAGTGCGTTACAGTATATTTTATTTTTGAAGATAGAACTGTGATCTCCCACCTGCAAAATTAAGTCATGACAGAATGCCAAGAAGGTAGGCACGCACATTGGCAATTTGGCTTCAAGTGAGAACAGTTTGTTCTTTAAAAACCCAGCTATGGGAGGTTACATCCAGTGCTCGAGGCTGGGGAATTTCAAAAGAAAGAGCTATTTTCTCTGCCCCATTGTAAGAGCAGGAAAACATCGGATGTGGAAACTCAGGAGATGACCTTATGTCAGCGACCCGGAGCATCTGATGGGAATGACACGCATTGCAGATTATCTGTGGTTGTATTTTAGGTCCAGCAAGTTTCCTAACAAGCTCCGAGTGTCCCAGGCTACTTTTCCACAAAATCTAGCCGGCCTGTGGTCAGGGAAGTCCGAATGATTTTACTGTTAGCACCGGCAAGACTGGATCAAAAAGGTAAATCTGCTAAAAACAAAAACAGACAAATAAAATCCAAGAACATTGTGCAGCCCACTGAAATATAACTGAATTTTTTTCACAGTAACATCCTTTTCTATCATTGCAGCATTTTAAATAGATTCTGCACTCTTTCTGCGATCTTGCTTCACTCGCGTGGTAGCAACCCCTGGCCTCCTGTGCCCCTCTGGTTGTCTGCTGATCTTAGCTGGGTTCTTTTCTTCCTTCTGACCAGTGCTCTTTCTACCAATTGCTACTGTGATATTGTGATTGATAAGAAATATATATTTGAGCCCTACCCGGCTTGGCTCAGTGGGTAGAGCGTTGGCCTGCGGACTTTGATCATTTAAATGATCAAATATATATTTCTCATACACATTTGGTCTTGGTCCATAGTTCCTGACTCATAACCCCCTAAACCCTTGGAATTTCCTAAGTGATGAGAGCATAAGGTGTCTTTTGTTATATTAATGAGGTGACTTTTGGACCCCACCTGAGGATGGGGGCTGGTTGCCATGGCAGCCAACCAGATGATTAGAGAGTTGGACAGTTCAGTGCCCCCTACCCCACCACCTCCAAGGAGCGG